AACTTTCTCATCACTCTGGTTCAGACCCCACTCAGGTAGGGAAGCCCATTGTGTTCTACTCTGGCTTGGCTGGGGGTGGGCGGGTAGCTCCTTTGTCTAGAGTGCCTGGGGCTGGGAGTAAAAGTGACATAATTGTCCCTCGAGCCTCCATTAGAATAGGTCCACCTCTCATTATAGTATTTATTCTTCTCACTAGTTGTTAACACCTGTCAGAAATAATCCCTCTTCCAAGAACTTGTAAGGGTCAAGAAACCACCATGATCCATCTTTGGTCCATGAGAGATGGCCAAATGACCAATCCTTTTATTAATTCCTCACTAGCCATAATAAATAAAATGATGACTTACCTAGAAATTATGTCTCTCAAACTTTTTATATGTCACAAGACAAGGGTTACATACGGAGGAGGAAGGTGATGCATGAAGATACCTGCTCTGAATCCAGGAGCATCAGTGAAGGAAGACCTGGCTGTATTTTTTTTTTATTATTATTTTTGAGCTAGGCAATGGGGTTAAGTGACTTGCCCAGTGTCACACAGCTAGTAAGTATTATGTGTCTGAAGCCAGATTTGAACTCAGGTTCTCCCGAATCCAGGGCCAGTGCTCTATCCACTGAGCCACCTAGCTGCCCCCTGGCTGTATATTGTGAAGGGAAGGAGTTTGGAGGGATTAGTCCTAGGGGTGCACTGGAAGCAGCTCCTACTGGCTCTTAAGAGCTAAGATCTGATTGTTTAAAATTTTCAGTGTGAACATTTACAGCCCAGAAATTGTCACATGCTATGAATCAGAGGCTTGATTTCTTATTTGGTCGATTGTCTAGACTTAAGAAAATGATAGAGAAAGTGTTAATGATGCAAATTGAACTTGTAATTGTGTCATTTGCTCTTGTTTTCACCTCAGAAAATGTTGTAGCCTACTTATACCCGGTCTCCATTTTTCATTGACCTCGGGGCCATTCTTTATTTCGATTCTTTGGAGACTAGCGTTCCATGATTCACAGTTATACAACAACCCTGGAAGAAGGGTCTTTTTTGTTTGCTCGTCTAGACCTGGGGTGGGGATGTCCTGATGTGGAAAGCCCGTCCATTGAAGCAGGCTGGCCACTGTTTGTAGTGTACAGTGTTAGAACATTGCTGGCAGCACTGAAGACTCACTCAGCCATGCGAATGTGCGTCAGAGGCAAGATGCTTCCTGAAGAATGACTCAAAATGGGCCTTTGTTTCAGGGAAATTTGTGGGGTCATTAGAAGAACTGTTCATTTCCCAGAGGTAGCAGATTTTGAGAGTCCCCATCGGTGTCCATCAGAGGAAGGCTCCCAGAACTTTGGGTCGACCCTTCTGAGGTTGTTTCATCGGAAGACATGGGCAGAGTCGTACAGGACTGGCAGACATGGATGAGTCGTGAGCTTACTATCATAGGATCATAGATTACAAGTGGGAAAGGACCTAAGAAAAGGGAAGAGGAAGGGAACAAGTATTTATTCAGCACTTATTGTGTGCCAAGCAACCCTGTGAAGTAGAGCCTATTATCATCCCCACTTTACAGCTGAGGACATTGAGGCAAGCTGAGGTTAAGTGACTTTTCCAAGGTCATGAGGCTAGTAAGTATCTGAGGCTAGATTTGAATCTAGACCCAGGGCTCAAAACTGAGGTACCACGAACGCCTTAAATTGCTCAGGGTTACAAAGCTATTAAGTGTCTAATGTAGGATTTAAATCTTAAGTCCATGCTTTATCCACTACTCCACACTGCTTATATGGTTTTTGTCATGGGAAAGAGTCCCCTCATCACTGAAATTGGAAACTTTTGGAGTATTTGCAGTTTTACCACTCTTATAGCTTGCAAAATGTTTTTTTTTTTAATAAATATGCCCTCATTTGGTCTCTTTTACAACTCCCTGAAAAAAGTAGTGCAGGGATCATTATTCCTTTTTTACAGATGAGGAAACTGAGGTTCAAAGGTGAAGGAATTTGCCCGGTTGACATAGCTAATAAACGGTATAGCTGGACTCAAAATTTAGGGCCTCAGATTCTGAATCCTTGGGTTACCTTGTCTCCTTGTTGGGGGAGAAATAATTGAAACCAGAGGAGAAAATCCTGGGTAAAAGATAGCCCCAGAACATCCCAATTCTCCCTGTGTTCTAGTCTCTCCATTAGACTGATCCACCTTGTGCTCAGCTAGGGGAAAGCATTGCAACCACGTGCCTGCTGTTCTTCTCTTTTTTTCCACTGTCCTTAAATATGCTAGGGGCACAGGGTGGTATATGTAGCCCTGGGCAGTCTGAATCTAACTCTTCCTTGGTATCCAGAGGTTATACCTTCGCACCTTGGGAAAGACATACAGAAACAGTTCAACTTACCCCAGGGTGGGTTGGTCCATATCAAGCCACTTTCCCAGGAGCCAAAGAAGTGGATTTACAGAGCGACATCCTTTCCTGGGATGGAAGGGAAGGAGGGAATTTCCTGATGACACCCCTAATTTCATAGCAGCCTAGGCAGTGATGTTAGTGATGACAGATAGCGCCCCCACGCCCATCATCAGCCCCTGCTATTCCTCACTGTGGGACTGTGTCAAAAGGCAGGAAAATCATTAGATTCACCAAATGTCTTAGCTTCAAAACAGAGGCCATGTATCAAAAGGAGAGGGAATGGAAATGATGGTCTTTGGAGGTAGGAGGAAAGCACTTTCAGAAATAGATGTCTGCAGCCTGGGCTGGGGCTTTCTCTCTCTTTATAGGTGATAGATGACTGAGAAGTAATGAAGGTAACAAAACATTCTTAGAATGGATATAAATACGTTTCTCCAAAATACTGACAGGGGGTACAATTTTCCTAAAATAAGGAAACTGAGATTAGAATAAAAAGAGAAATACAGATTAAATGATGACCTAGTATTTCTAATGTAGAAAGTTTCTGGAATAGTATATCCTCCCCTGACCCCATCATTAATAATGAGGCTTGGTTTAATGCCTTTAAATATGAGATCCTCCTCAGGAATGGATTATGAGCAAGGAGGGCTGAGTGTCTGTCTCAGTCTCAGGTTTCAAAGACATAGCATTTAGATGTGCTATCTGTCCATTCTAGATCAAGGTAGGGAAAGGTAGTTTAGGTTGATGGAGAAAGTGCTGCGCTTGGAATCAGGAAATCAAGTCAACAAGCATGTATTAAGCTCCTACTATGTGCCAGTCACTTCACTAAGTGCTGGGGATTTAGAGAAATAAAAAGATAGTTCCTGTTCTCCAGGAGCTCACACATTATCATTCCCATTTTTTTTTCAGATTAGGAAACTGAGACTGAGATAGGTCTAGTGACTAGCTCAAGGTCACACAGGCAAGATTTGAACTTAACACTCTATTCACTTCATCATCTTTGTTGTTGTTGTTCAGTCTTTTCAGTTATGTCCAATTCTTTGTCACCCCATTTTGGAATTTTCTTGGCAAAGATACTGGAGTGGCTTGCCATTTCTGTTTCCAGCTCATTTTACAGATGAAGAAACTAAGGCAAACAAGGTTAAGTGACTTGCACAGGATCACATAGCTAATAAGTGTCTGAGGCCAGATTTAAACCTAGGAAGATGAGTCTTCCTGATTCCAAGCTCAGTGATCTATCTGTTGTGCCACCTAGCTGCCCTTCATTTGGGGTTTTCTTGGCAAAGAGACTGTAGTGGTTTACCATTTCCTTCTCCAGCTCATTGGACAGAGGAGGAAACTGAGGCAAACAGGGTTAAGTGACTTGCCCAGAGTCAGACAGCTGGTAAGTGTCTGAGGCTAAATTTGAACTCAAATCTTCCTGACTCCAGATCTGGTGCTCTATCTACTGTGCCACCTAGCTGCCCCCTTCATTATCTAGGGATAGGAAACTGGCAGCAATATCAACAGGTATAATTCTGAGAGGCAGTGATAGATTGGCACAGACTTCAGAGATTTATCAATGATTACCAACCATGCTGGTATGCATAATTATTGTTATTATTTTTTTGGGTATGCACAATTTTAAGGGTTCTGGTAAAGTGCAAGCCACAAGCCTATACTGTGCAACATCCATCCACACAGAGCATGATGCAACATTGATAACAAAAGAAGGAAACTCGATGCTCAATAGAATCACACAATCTTGCCCTGTGCTTCAGGAAGATTATTTTGGTTGCTACATAAAGGATAGATTAGAGAGAAAAGACCAATTAAGAGGCAATTTGAATAGCCTAGGCTAGAGGTGATGGAGGCTTGATCTAAGGTGATGGCTATGTGACTGGAAGGATGTAGGGTATTGTGGGGGTAATATGTTTTTTTTTTTGAGGCAATTGGGGTTAAGTGACTTGCCCAGAGTCACAATGCTAGTGAGTGTCATGTGTCTGAAGTCGGATTTGAACTCAGGTCCTCTTGACTCCAGAGCCAGTGCTCTATCCAGTGTAGAAGCCCCTGGAGGTAATGTTAATAGGAGCTGGCAGCTGATTGGAGTAGGACCTGGAAGCCAGCCAACACTCTTTCAACAGTAGGATGCTGTCTGTCCTTGGGAGCTGCCCAGTGCACATAAAATAGGGCTGGATATGCAAAGTTAGCTTCTAAGGAGAATTGCTGCTTTGTAAAGGGAGATAGGACTGTATCTACCAGTTCTACTATGGAAAAGTATTAAGCTACTTCCTAGTCACTATTCCCCAATCCTTTCTGTGCTCTCATTTCAAGAAACCCCTAAGCTCTACTAAAGTGTTTTAACTTTCTCTGAAATCCTTCCATTCAGCCAGAAAACCTGGTGTAATCATAAGATCATAGACTCATCCATAAAGATCTTGAAAGGACCTCAGAAACCATGTGTCCAGCACTGCATTTTCCAGATGAGGAAATTGAAGCCCATGGCAGGGGAAGCAATCTAGTCTAATACTCTCATTTTACATATGTGGAAACCAAGGCCCAGGGGGGTGAAGCAATTTGTTCAAGGTCCCATAAGAAAAAGAAACAAAAGACAGCTCCACATTCAGTCCAAAGCAGCTTAATTTATTTATTAAAAAAAACCATTTCTTTATTCTCTTCAAGGGCTTTGGGCAAGGAAAACCATGGCTCATAGCAGAGGTTCAGGAGATACCCTTGCATCAGTCATTGTTGCCGCATCATACAGACACTAGCACCATGAGAACAGCCATCGAGGGGATGGAGAATGGGCAAGGAGACAGAGGGAGAGAATGGCATGTGGGCCCTCCTCACAAACATCTGATAAATAACATAGTTCAACACTGGAAATAAGTTATGAACATTAAATACGATAAAGTAGTTTACATTGAAGTCAGGGGATATGCCAGAGCCTTGAGTCAAGGCCAGCTTGACTCAGATGTTGCCAGTAGGGGCACAGAGACTTTTCTGGCTCTGGTAGCTTATTCTTCAACCCAGAAGGAACTCGAACTGTTTCTCCCATGCAATCCAGGCCTTCCTTCACTTCAGCTTTTCGATATATTTCTGGACCCATGGCTCTCTAGGGTTGGCGCAGACTTGATAACCCTTTTTGGTGAGGAATCTGTGGTACCAGAAGTAAAAAGATGAAAAACTGAGCAATTCAACTTCTGGGGAAAGAAGGAGAAATTACCACCAGATCTGGGTTTCTATGTCCCTCTGACACTAGAGGCAGTTCAGGCCCATTCTCCTTTTTGGGGGGCTCGTCCCTATATGAGAACCTAATCCCTCATTCAATTCACATCTGTTCTTTGGGGCAGTGGTTCCCAAAGTATAATCCAGGGAACCCCTAGAAGTTTCAAAGAATGTTTCAAAAGTATTCATAATAATTCAAAGACATTAAAATTTTTTAATATGATAAAGATAGATAGATAGGGCCCACACAAACAACAGCTCTTTGGGCCCCCTATTAATTTTTAAGAATGTAAAGGGGTCTTGAGATCTGAAGATTGGAGAAGTATTGCTTTAGGAGACTTTGGTGTTTCCTTTTTTTCCTTTCCCCCCCACCCTCATCCTTTAGTAAGAATAGCTCTAAATTGTCCCTCTGCATGCTCCAGCCCAGGCTTTAAGCCCTGACAGATCAGATCTTTTTTTTCCATTTTTTATTACTTCCTTATGCTCAGCTAGAGCACCAGCCCCAATGCCTCAGAATCATGGGGCAAATGGAAGCTTTCTTCTGGGAGACCCAGTTGAGTTTCTCCTAATCTATTTTATACCTAGTTTTTTTTCCTCCTAATTTATTTTAGCAGGGGCTATAAACTATCTTTCTTTGCCCTTAGTCCCAAGGGATTTTTTTCTTCCTCTTGAGTCCTGATAGCTTCTCCCCACATAACCCTTGCCTCTCTTCCCCAAACATGGTCACTGACACCTCTACTCACATGACGGCTGGCTGGGAGCATTGGCTACTGGTCTCATAAAAATCCACCACAAATGCTTGAGGTATCTTCCGGGAGGTATAGGAGAAACAGCAAGCAATGGGAATGTCAGACCCAACTGTAAGGAAAGAAATACTGTGAGGTCTGTGTCATTCTTAAGCAGAAGAAGTGGGGATAAAACGACTCAACACTGCTGGGCTTAGAGTGATATGGAAAGAGCAAAGGAGACTTGAGGAAGACATGAGACAGCTCTTCTTTCCCCCAAATATCCTTCCCTCTTATGAATGGTATCCTGTCATACTGAACAGAACTCTGGACTTGGAGTTAAGAAAATCTAAGCTTTGAATTCTGCCTCAGAAATTTAAGAGCTATTTTCCTTGGGCAAGTCACTTAACCACTCCAAGTCTCAGTTTCCTAATCTGTAAAATGGGTGTGATGACAACAGCATTTCTCTCACACAGGGTTGTGGTGAGGATCAAATCCTGTGTCTGGGGAAGTTAGTAGGAAATACCTCATTTTGGAGACAGAAGCATATTGAGAAATGGCCCAAGCCATTTTGAAACCTTGAGTGGGTTTCATGCCATACTTTCACTGAAGAATCTGTCTATAAGTCACAGAAGCTGTTCTCTGGTCCCTGCCTCCTCAAAATCAGCTTTCCTTCTAGTTAGAAAAATGGGAATGGTTTAAAAAATAGGGAGAAGGGAAAACATACTGACCTGTTAATGAAGACACCTGATAGCAAAAGGCAGTGGCCATGATGAGGATAGAGAAGATAGCCACAAAGCTTCTCATGATGTTGGTGAAGGATAGGAGTTCTAGGAGTGTGATAAGCCCTTCAACTGGGATAGAATTCTGAGTTCCCTGGCTCTCTCTGTTACCCACTCTGTGCTCAACTTCTTTTTATAGGGGAGCTGGAGGTTAGGAGAGATTGGAACATAGAAATTTTCTTAGTAAGTTTGATGTCATGGTGTCACTTGCACAACTGAAGAGCACCCTGTGTGGCCACGTGGCCCCAGAATATCCAAGAACAGTCATGTTCTCTGCTACTTGATTCTGAAGTCTCAAAAGGCATTCAAAATGCAATGGGGAAGTAGTTGCAGGGGGAGGAGGGTGGAAGGGGGACATTAGCTTCTCTAACAAGTTAGAGAGAAGGGTGTCAGGCTGTCACTATTAATAGTTAGTTCCTCATCATGACAGCAGAGCTATACATGGGTTGTCCAGTTAGTTTCCCTTCCAAGGAGCTGAAACTTTTGATGTGCCATATGATGGTTCCAACCACAGACAAGGGGCTACCCCAAGTCTCATGATTAAATAAGCAACATTAATTTCCCCACCCTACAGAGAGAGAGAGAACTGCATTAGGGAAAGTCAAGAAGATTGGGGGTGGAGGGATAAGAGAAAGGGAGATTGGGAAATTTAGGTCAGGGTTTCAATTATTCATTGGGATAAGGATAAGGAGTAGACCTATGATTTCTTCGGTGTAAGGAATTCCCGGGGTGAGAACTCTCCCTCTACTAGTGCAGGTCAGCACCTTCTCAGCAACTTAGAGAATTGCTAAATGTCACAGCCAGGCATGTGTGAGAGGCAAGACTTGAATTCAGGTCTACCTGCTTTGAACCCTTCTCTAGTATACTTTGCTTCCTTGTAACACAAACAAACAAACAAACAAACAGACCCAAAATACACCAAAATAAAATAAATGATAGCTCTGAGTACTCGAATTTGCCTAGGACAAGCAACCCCAGATGTGCTCAGACCATAGACCTTAACAACTTATTGGACTGACCCATTGCATTGCTATTCAATCATTCCCTTATTCAAATAACATTTGTATTGGTCTCATTTTAGGGACCAAGAAATGACTTTTTTGGACTAGTCCTGTGATGTCCCTGGTGTGGGAGACTACTCGGTAAGGAAGCTCACTCTACCAATGCAGAACAGTAGCTACTCTGCATTTTGTAGTCTTATAGGGTTGCCTAGAATGCTGAGAGATCCAGGGATTTGTATAGCCAAGCTATGTTAGAGGCAAGACTTGACCCCAAATCTGCTTGAGGTGGAGACCTCTCTAGGTGCTATGCAATGTTGCTTCTTGTACTTGTGATACAAAGATAATATACAACCTAGTTCCTGCCTTCAGGGACTTACATTCTATTTGGGGTTGGAGGGTAGGGAATAGCATATATGGAGAGAAATCTAGAGTGAGGTAAAGAGTGATGGGACCAATCAAACAATAAACATTTATTATCTAATAAATGTGTCAAGTATTATGTCAAATGGGAGATCGAGGCAAGTTATACTAGGAAAACACAAAAGAGAATGAGTACTTGTAGCTAAAGGGTGAAGAAAGACTTCTTTCTGAGATGGGTCCCAAAGAAAATGAGGAATCCTGAAAAACAAATATGAAGAGAGGATAAATTCCAAGCACAGGGAAGAGTTTTGTGAAAACCCAGAGATCAGAGATGGCATGTCAAATTCAAGAAAAAACAGCTATTAGTATAGCTTGACCATAATGTATACAGAATAAAGGAGAGGAATATGAAATAAAGGTTGGAAAGTAGATTGGAACTAAATTGTGGAGGGCCTTAAATGCCATGATGAGGAGCCTGTATTCTATTATAGATAAAATAGGGATTTTTTTGAGCTCTCAGTAAGTCAAAAAACATTTATTAAGCGCCTACTATGTGCCAGTCTATATGCTAAGCACTGAGGATACAAAAAGAGGCAAAAGGCAGTCCCTGCCCTCAAGGAGCTTGCCACTGAATGGTGTGTGAGCAGCAGCTGGTATGTGTGTGTGTGTGTGTGTGTGTGTGTGTGTGTGTGTGTGTGTGTGAGACATGGTCAGACCTACATCTTAAAAAGATTTTTTTTGGCAACTGTGTGGAATATGAATTGGAGGAGACGTTGGAAGCATGGAGGCCAGTTAAGAGGTTATTAAGAGAGCATGCATAAGAACTGATGAAAGTCTAAACCAGAGTGGTATCAGTTTGAGTGTAGAGAAGAAGACAGATAAGAGAGGCACTGTAAAGGTGGAATCAACGGCACTTGGCAATTGATGGGACATCAGGCAGTAGACTCAAAGATAAGTATAAAGGGTACACCTTACACATATTAGATTGACAATGATCATAAAATATAAAAATGGTAAATGTTGCAGGGACCACAGGATGACAGGCATATACATGTGCTATTGATGGAGCTGCAAATTTATCCCAACTGTTCAGAATACACTTTTAAATTATGCTAGAAATCTTAGTACAGTGATTTGGACTTAGAAATGTCACTACTAGACATATGCACCAAGGAAGCCAAAGGCAGAGCTAAAGGTCCCATACATATAAAAGTATTATAGCAGCAATTTTTTGTAGTAGCAAAGGAACTGGAAAGAAATTTGGAAATGATTAAGCAAAGTGTGACATATGGAGGCAATAGATTTTATTACATTGTAATAAGAAATCACCTATATGAGTTCAGAGAAACCCAGAAAGATTTCTATGAACTTATGCAGAGTGAAGTGAGTAGAACCAGGAAAAGAAAGTGCACAGTGACTACAATAATGTAAAGACAAACAGCATTGAGACATTTACGAACTTTGATCTGAGTGATGATGGATCACGATTTCAAAAGATTAATGATGAAGCGTCTGTTGACATTTCAGCAGAGAAGTATTAGACCAGAGGTACAGAATGTGACCTACTTTTTTTGGGGGGGTCATTCAATGTGTCATTTGTTTTTCTTGAATGTACTTCTTTGTTACAAGAGAGGGTCCTTTGAGTGAGGGGAGTCATTTGGAAGTTACACTGAAGTAAAAAAATCATGAAACTTTTTGTGTTTGTTTTAAAGATGCCTCTGAATTAGAAGGTGGTATCAACAACAGAGAAAGGGAAGTGAAGAGAAAGGTGATCAGTTTATATTTGAACATGGTGAGTTTGAGGTGCCAACAGGATATCCAGGTGGTCAGAGACATCAGGAGAAGTTCAGAGTGAATGTGTAGATTTAAGAGCCATCTGAACAGTGGAGGTAATTGAACTTATAGGAGTAGATGAGCTCAGCCAAAGAAAGAACGTAAAGAGAAAGGGCAAAGAGGAAGGTAAAAAGCCAGAAAAGGAGACCGAGGAAGGGTGGTCAGACAGGCAGGAGAATCAGGATTGAGCACTATTAGAGAAGTCAAGTGAAGAGCTGGTAGTCACCAATATTGATAGCTATAGAAAAAGGATGAGGGTTGAGGAAGGACCAAAGGATTTAGCAAATAAAAAAAGCTTATCATCAACCCATGAAAAACAAAACAAAACAAAACAATTTCAGTGCACTGATGGAGTTGGAAGGTAGATTGTAATGGATTTAGAGATTAATTAATGAGGAAATGTAAACAGCCAAGCTATATAATTCTTTCTGTGTGTTTACAGTGAAATAAAGGAAACATATGATGATAGCTTGAGGGGAATGACAAAATCTATTGAAGATCTTGTTTAGAAAAGAGGAGACCTTACTCTTTGACAAAAACTGTTAGAAAAACAAGACAATCTGGCAGAAAATGGGTTTAGAACAACAACTCATACTATATACCAACATAACTCCAAATGGGTGCATGACCCAGATACAAAAGGTCATATAAAAATTGATGAGAAAGGAAGAAATTGCTATCAGGATTTGTGGAGAGGGAAAGAATTCATGACTAAACAAATGATTGAGAAACTAATACAAGATAAAATGGAAAATGTTGACTAAATAAAATGTTTTGCTCAAACACATCAAATGTAGTTAAAATTAGAAGGGAAACTGGTAATTGGGAGGTAAAAAAGCAACAACCTCACAGCAGATTTCTCTGATAAAGTTCTCTTATTCCAGTTATATAAGGAACTGATTCCAATTTTTATACTAAGAGCTAGCTATTCCTTAGAAGATAAATGGTCAAAGGATGGCAAGAGGCAATTTTCAAAGGCAGTTATTAACAACCATATGAAAAATTCTCTAAATTACTAATGATTAGAGAAATGCAAATTAAACTTTGAGGTTCTACCTCTTATGCTTCAGACTGGCAAAGATGATGCAAGAGGAAAATTACAAATGTCAGAGGGGCTATAGGAAACAGATACACTAGTACAGTATTAGTGGACTTGTGAATTGGTCCAGCCTTCTGAAAAGCAATTTGGAGCTATGGCCAAAAGGTTCACAAAATGTTCCTACTCTTTGACCCATCTATGCTGTTATTAGGCTTTGCCTGAAAGTTATCAAAGAAAGAAAAGGATCAAAGTTTATGAAAATATTTATTGCAACTTTTTTCATAGTAGCAAAAAATGGGAAACATTTTTCCTCCCAAGAGGAGATGTATCCTCTTATTGGGGAATGGCTAGACAAATTATGGCATGTGAATGTAATGGAATATTTTTATATTGTGACATAATAATAGAGAAATAAAAAAGAAACGGCAAAATTTATAGTTTCAGAGGAACCTGGAAAGATCTCTCTGAAGGGATGCAAAGCAAAGTGAGCAGAATTAAAACAATTTATACATTGACAATAACATTAGAGAGAAAAAACAACTTTGAAAGACTTTTGGATTCTGGTCAACATAAATGATAGACCTCAAGTTCAGAAGTCTGAAGATAAAACATGACTCACCTCCTTTCAGAGAGGTGATATACTTAAAATACAGAGAGAAAGACATACATGTTTAGCTATTGGCCAAAACAATAGCCAATTGTTTGGTAAGACTATGTATGCTGCTGATGATTTTATTTTGTGGGGCTTTTTGGAGGTTCAGGTAGGAGGTATAGATTATAAAAGTATACACAAATGAAAATATACATTTATTTAAAAAGTAAAAGGAAAACAGAAACCAGAGCTACTTTTATAGGCAGCAGAGAAGGATCCA